TCATTTCTTTTTTAACCTCCGTGCCGAGTCAAAGTACCTCACATAAAATGGGACGAAGGGAGTATTTATTTTCCAGAAAAACATTTTCTAGGAAATCCTTCGTACCAAACACCCTAAATGTCTACCGCATGCATCAATTGTCAAATCGATATTTTGGTTGTACGATAACTAAAAAGACAAAAGTGCAAGAGGAGCAATTTTGTCCAAAATTTACTTACCAAGCATTGGCTGATCAATTAAATATTTAGAATAATTAATTATAGATTAAATATAAACGTCTAAATAGGGTACATCATAAAACTAACACCAAATAAATTAGTCGAAATTAATTTAATGACGCGACTACGTGTTTAATTTGCTATCTGTATCGTATTATCCTCTAAATATATATTAACAAAAATATTCCAAATTCATTTAATTTCAATGTATCTACTAGAACCCATATTATTTAATAATTGTTGTATTATATAAGCTTACCAATGCAAAATATAACACGTAACAAGTGTGACCTACAAATCATAACGTGCTAGCAACAAATACAGATTTTAAGACAATATATTTTCTATTCTTTTGTAACCTAATAAGTTTTGAACTAATTAAATTTAAATGTATAATTCAAGAATCATCAGCTATAGTAGAGAAGTTGCATCAATCAATAGCTAATGTCACATAAATTTCAAGTTAAAATTGTAATATAATCAAAAAAATATTAGATGATTCTTTGTTATTTTTATCTACCCAAGTTTTTGTGAGCAAAATTACTTGATATACATTGTGCTGATAGAAAATAAAAGATGCTTGATGAAATAATATCCGGTAAAATAATTGTGGACTAGAGATTAACAAGTAGGGTCGACTTAACAAGATTGGGGCCTAAAGCGAAACTTAAGAGACAACCCCTACTATTTTATTTTTTTCATCATATATACTTTTATTTAAAATCTACTTTTCTAGCTTTTTTATATGTGAAATCATTAATTACTATTTTATAATGGATTTGTTTTAATAATTCATTTTCAATTGATAATATAGTTAATCTATTTAATCTCTATTGAGACATTGTTGATCTTAAATAAGATTTAAATAATTTTAATTTTGAAAAACTTCTTTCGGCTGAGGCAACAGTTATAAGAACTATTAACATTATTCTATAAGCAATATGTGTATTTGGGAAAAAATCAAGTGTTTTTATTTGATTGAGTATTTTCATTAGATCATTATCTAATACTTGTATTATTTCTCTTAACACTTTTAATTCAAAAAATAAATCTAAATCATCAAATATCAGCATAATTATTATGTGTTAAAGAAAGTTTAAGGTAGACAAGGTAATTTTGTTCAAATCTATTTTGAAGTAAAAAAAAAATAGCTTGATCTACTATATATATACATATAAAGTAATCAATTCTAAAAAATTCTTCAAGAGACTTTGTGATTTTGTTAGTAATATTTTCATCAAATGGTTTCTTACGAAATTCAGGTTCTATATATTCATCTCATATGTAATTTTCTTAATAGAAATCATAGCACACTAGTAGTACATATAAGTAATTTTATTTAATATGGGTCCCCAAACGATGACTTTAGTATCCTAGGGGTTATGGTTGATTCTCGAAATTGAAAAAAAAAATCGGGTCCAAACAACCCTGTTAACAAGTTTCTCTTTGCTTCTCCAAAGTCAATAATCTTACTAGTATATATTTTAAAATTTAAAGAAGAAAAATGCAAATAATATTATCTTTTTCGAATATCATTAATGCCCATTTATCCAATGCACGTTTGTATTGTTGGTAGTTGGTACATCCACTCATAAACAAGTTCACTAATTTATTTTATAATATTGAACTTGCCTATATTGGAAAACGCATAAATGTAAAAGTGTCTTTAGTCACAATGTAATAATATAGAGGGGTTAATTATGTTTTATTGTCGAGAGTTAGTTGAGTCAATTGTTCGGTAGCTGGATAAGAAGTAATTTATTCATATATTGGTTTTCGTATAATTTCTACAATGTTTGGTAGGTAGATAGAAAATAAATTATTCATGTATAAAATTAATATGATGTTTGGTTGAGAATTTAGAAACCCCATAACTAACTAATTCATGTATAAGTTATGAGGGAATTTATGTATTATTTATGTAGGATATAAAGTGGAATAACTAATAATACATAACTATACATGAATAACTAATTCATATATTACTAATACCTTCATAAAATAATACATAAATTCACTCATAACTAATCCTTACATTATTCATACTTTGCATAACTCTAACCAGCTACCAACGACTCGAGATATTAGTTCAATGAGGATGAATACACACAATATATGTAGTTCAAGGAGATACACAATAAGGCCAGCACTTCAAAAACTTCAGGTGAATTTCAGGCACACATGGAAAGTACAATTACTTTATTATCCAATACTCTTTCAAATGACTGGATAATAGATTCAGGAGCATCACAACATATTACTCACATAAGAAGTTTCTGAATGAAATAAAGAAGTTGAGTACAGGTACCTACTAGCACTACACCAAAAATGATGTTTAGCGGCAACATTTAATTAATGTCAATAACTTAATTGTCACTAAATATGTATTTTTAGTGGTAATTAGCATTACACCACTCACTATAAGAAAAGTGTTGATTACCTGGGGATTTTCCTAGGGATAATATAGTAAATCCGCAGGTAATTTGATTACGTGCGAATTTTCTTGCAAAATGAAATCCGATGGAAAAACCTTCGTAGGTAACTCTTACCTGCGGATTTATACAATCCCTAGGTAATTTACCTGGGGAATTTAAATCCGCAGATGTGTTACTTGCGGATTTAATTGCATAACTAACGAAAATTCTTGCGAATTTCTTGCTAAAATTTCTTATAAAAACGAAATTTCTTGCAGATTTTCGTAGAAATATTTTCGCAAGTGATTCCCCATGAAGATCCCAAGTAAATCCATAGGAGTTTGGAAATGAAATTTTTTGAAAACAAAAAGGAAATTTCTTGTGGATATATATGAAAGTATTGCTCAAGATAATTCCAATGAAAAGAAACCCGCAAAAAAACCAACAAAAAACACAATTCACGTTATATCACTTCATTCAACAAAAAAATAGAATTCATAATTCATAATTCCTACATATCACTTCATTCAACAAAAAAACAGAATTCATAATTCATAATTCCTATGAAAAGAAACCCGCAAGATCAATAGTTTATGATTCTTAAATGGACAAAAGCAAAATACAACTCAAATTTGAATCCTAAATAGTACCATCAACTATCTCAATCCCCATTTGAAGATGATGCGCTATAATGGGCAGAACCACTGTCATTCACGTTATCATGGGCAGAACCACTATCATTCACGCTATCAGAGTCATCACCACTTTCATTCTCATAAGCTTGATTGTCTTCTTGAGATGAATGCTCATTTGAAGATGATGCGTTGTATACATGTTTCTTCAATAAGTCTAATTCCCTCCTCATCCTCTTATTTTTGTGACGCTCTTTCTGCAGTTGAGCATATAAGTCAGCATTGGAAGCATTTACCTGAGCTTTAATCATCTCATCAATTTCTCTCGATAAAGTTGATGTTGATTGTTTAGACGATGACTTTACAGATCGTCCCAGGTTAATATCAAACTCATATGACTTGATATAATCATATGTGTATAGTGTCCTTACCTTGAATTCCTCAAACCACATATCATGAGTAGATTGTGGAAACTTCTTCCATAAGGGTCCAGCCAATTCAAATTTACTACGAATGCAACTAGCAATGCTGTCAATTACTATCTTGTGAGGATCAAACCTATATAAAATACAGTAGTTATCAAAAATATAAACAGATAAACAATTCAGCTAAGCAAATGTATTATTAAAAGTTAGTCTTATTACCCGTCCTCTTCAGGTACAATCTAGATTTGATGATCATTGTCTCCATTGCCAATTGTACTAGATGAGGTGACTGGAGTCCTATTGGCCGGTGGTGACATCAATTGTTCAAATTCTTGATTTATAGGTTGGGACTGATTAGATTGAGCTAGAGATTCAGTGTTACGAGATTGAGAACGATTTCCTTAAGAACACCATAGTATTCACTTATGGTACCGTCTTGTCCAGTGCCACTGACACACACCCCACTGTTATATGTACCATTTTTAGCTCATGAACCCACTCACATATATCTTTCTTTTGGTCGTCATTTAAAGTAAACTTTGCTTTGGGTTTAATCCATCTCCCATCAGCATTCTGTTGCAAGTGTAAATCACTTCGACGACAATATTCTTTCAAGTCCATTCTTGCCTTCTCATTATCCTTTGTTCTCTCACTGTTATCCATGACTGTATGGAAAATATTGTCAAAGACATTCTTTTCTATATGCATTACATCAAGATTGTGGCGAACTAGATTGGTCTTCCAATATGGTAGATCCCAAAAAATACTTCTTTTGGTCCAATTATGTGATTTTCCATAACCGTAAAAGTTGCGAGGACTAGATTCAGTAATCTTAGGAAATCCTTTAATTTTTTCCCACACTTGTTCTCCAGTTAACCTGAGAGGAGGTCTAGACTTTTCCTCTCTTCCTTTATAAAAAGCATTCTTGTTTCTTCTAAATTCATGATTGAGAGGCAAGAATTGCCGGTTACAATCAAACCAAGAAACTTTTCTTCCATTTTTCAAACTGAAAGTTTTTGTTTCATCCATACAAATTGGGCAAGCTAATTTACCTGCTGTACTCCATCCCGACAGCATGCCATAAGCAGGAAAATCATTAATTGTCCACATCAATGCTGCTCGCATAAGAAAATTCTGTTTCTTGGACATGTCATAAGTGACTACACCATCTTTCCATAACTGTTGTAATTCATCTATTAACGGTTGAAGATACACATCAATTTTATTTTTGGGATTATGAGGACCTGGAATAATCAATGTTAAGAACATATATGGGGCAGTCATACAAATATCAGGAGGAAGATTGTATGGTGTAACAATCATTGGCCAACAAGAGTATGATGATCCTGATTGGCCAAAATGAGTAAAACTATCAGAACAAAGACCAAGCCTAACATTTCTAGGCTCTACAGCAAAGTCTGGATAAGTTCGATAAAAAATTTTCCATGATTCTCCATCCGAAGGGTGGCATAACACACCTTCTTCCCTGCGATTTTCATAGTGCCACCTCATGTGTTCAGCAGATCTTTTCGAAGCATATAACCGTTGAAGTCTAGGAATAAGTGGCAGGTAATGCATTGTCTTGTGTGGAATATTTTTCTTACCCTTCTTGCCCACACGTTTCAACATTTTGTAAAATCTGCTAGCACCTATATTCGGAGACTCTTCTACATTGGGTTCAACTTGATGACTAAATTCTACAGCAGCAACAACATCAATCATACCTACGTGTTCACAGTTTTTTTCTAGAATGTTACATTGACTGCTTGAGGGTATGTCAAAGTCACATTCTTGATGACTACTTGAATCACCAAAATAGATATGTTCATTCAAATTAATTGAAGGGGCTTCCTCTCCATGTGACGTCCAATACCAATATCTTGGTGTGAATCCTTTTCGAAAAACATGCACATTAACTTCATCGGGTGTCAGATGCTTCATATTTTTACAACGCTTACAAGGACACCTTATAACTTTTTCAGACAAATACTTATGTTGACTACAAGAAAATTTAATAAATTCATCCATTCCACTTATAAATTCATCGGTATATCCCACTCGACCGGGGATTAGTCTATTTACCATCCATTTTCAATGCTCAGGAATTTTCATTTTCTGAACCAAAAAATAAATATGCTTGTAAACACATAAATAATGAAATTTAAATACTGTATGGTTCAACAATGGTTGGGGAAAGCTACTAGTCAGTCACATGAACCTAAAAATAAGCACATAAAAATACAAGGTCAAGGACAAAAGAAAGCAACACAATAATTGCCTGAAAAGGAGCTACTTGAGAAACAAAACATAATTATTAAACTTGTCATCTCTGTCAGTTCCCTTGTATACTTAAAGAGGGAACTGACTCTTAACAAGAGGGTGAATATAAAAAAAAATCAGAATAGAGTATATGTGATTAATGGGTCAAAATTAAACATATAGAAAGACATATAAGGGCAAAGAGAAGAGTGGTATTGGTGTGTCTAGCATCACTATGATATAGTCAGAACAAATTTTCTGTAAAATGGGATTTTACTAAAACAAAGAGGAAAGCACACATAGTAGAATATAGACCGAAACAAAATGTGATGGAAATCATTACTTAAAAGAACCAGTCTTGAATACATTACACGCCCATAAGAAAGGAAAAGAAAAAAAAGAAGCATTTCATACACTCTTTAATCATCTGAACAGAGAGTATGTACAGCTAGCCCAAATATATTAATATCCTACCTATTGGAATAATCTCCAAAGCATTCTAATATGAGAACACACACAACATACATATGATGTATTAACTGAAGCAGAGGTCTAAAAAGAATGAAATCGTAAGCTAATTCTCATAGATGTGTCAACCGAGTACTTTTGACCTTTCACATTCTACTCATGGTCCAACAGATATACTCCGTATAACTTACTAATTATTTTGGAATTAGTAATTTAGGAATGTCTAGGTAAATTATTTCTCATTCCTAAGTTCCCAATTATTTCTCAAGGTAATAAAATGTCTAGGTAAATCCCCATAAATAATTTTTTAGACAATTTGGAATTTTCCTACAAATTAAAAGGATTTAAAAAAAATAAAATTGGTCCATGTACCTAGGGATTTAGCTAGAGATATTGTTCCTGCGGATATATTTCCCTAGGTAATTTTGCAGGAACTAATTTAGTGCAAAATGGTATCAACTTTAGCTGCGAAATTTGTTGGGAATATAAGTTTCACATGTAATATATTCTAATATTGAGGAATTTAAAATTTTTGCAAGAAAATTTGCAAGTATTACCTGCGAAAATTTTCCCCATGTAATTTACTCTTTTCTAGTAGTGACTCATGTAAAGTATGTCACTAGCAAAACAAAGAAAGTTAAAATTTTGTATCAGTTAACACTCCTCTAGTAGTATTTTCCAGTTAATACATGTAGATATGGAAACCATATAAAACTCCTACTTATAATAGAAATAATTTCTTTGCTAAAATGATCGTTATAGATATACTTGGCATGTATGGTCCAAGATAAAAGTGAAATGATTATGAGCTACTATTGCTATATATCATAAGGTTTCTTGTTATCATGATCAGTTGAGAGTGTTTGATTGTCTCTATTTTGCTAGCTCCTTATCAAAGGGAAATAAGTTCGATGTTGGAGCCAACAAAACAGTGTTTATTGGATACTCAGAGACTATATGATCGTCAGCAGAGATGTATCTTTCAGAGAGGATATCTTTACTTTCAAAGGGTTGCAAGGAGTGGAAGTTATATTCCTGATACTTCACCAACAGTGTGTCCCTATGATCTGCGTAGGTCAGAAGTGTCAATGTCACAACTATCCATGAGGCTGTTGTTGAGCATCCAGTTGCCTCATTGGATCCAGCAGCAGAGACAGTGCCACTAGGGGAGGTAGCTCCTGAACCAGCTCACATCACACAACAACTCCAGGAACCAATGCATGCTACAGACCTAGTGCCTACTGCTATCTTTGGACCTTAGCAGGAGGGGAGAAGGACAAATAGAGTAGTTAAACCTATTATCTTGTTGAAGGATTATGTGACCACTAAGAATCCATCTGCAGTTTCTATCTACTCAATGGTTGATGTCCAGACCTATGATACTATGTCTCCTGCATACCAATCTTTTGTGCTGGCATTTTCTAGTCATGTAGAGCCCAAGAGTTCTAAAGAAACTGTTACAGCTACAAAATAGATTTCGACAATGTGACATTAGATTGATGCTTTACAAGAAAACAATACTCGGGAGCTAGTACGTCTGCCTGTTGGTAATATGTTATAGGGTCTAAATGGGTGTATAAGATCAAATACAAGGCAAATAGTGATGTGAAAAGATCCAAGGCTAGACTAGTCGCAAAGGATTATAATAAACAAGAGGGACTAGGCTATCATGAATACTTTTTTTCCTATGGACAAAATTGTGTCAGTTAGGATCAGCATAGCAGAAGCCAAGAACTGTGAATTGTCACATAGATGTTAGTAATGCATTCCTACAAGGAGACCTATATGAAGAGAAGAGGTATTTATTAAATTGACACAAAGCTTCCAAGTTCGGGGAGACCAGAGAATTTGCAGAATAAAAAAGTCTCTCTATGGCTTTAAACATGCCTCAAAATAGCAGAACATTAAGCTAACTAATGCACTTATAGAGGGTGGTTATCAACAGAGTGATTATGATCATTCATTTTTAATCCACAAGACTAGTTCATACATTGTTGTTATCCTGATTTACGGGGATAATATCCTTATCACCGGGAGCAATCAGGAGTCAATTCGACAAGCAAAGGATACTCAAGGTCAAGGACCTAGGCCAGTGGAGATACTTTCTTGGAATTAAAGTGTTGAGATCATCTAAAGGTGTCGTCCTCAACCAGAAGAAGTATGTGCTTGAGTTGATCTCTAAAGTTGGTTCTAGTACCTTTGAAGCTTAATAAAAAGCTCACTACTGTAGAATATGACATTCATGTGAGAATAGTTGATGATCCAAAATTAGCTTATATACCAGCTACAGATGTTGGTTCGAAAGTTGTTATATTTGACATTACTAGGCAAGGCCATATGTTTCACAATGTAGGTATCCAATCAGTTCATGCACAAACCCACATGCTCACACATAGATGTTGCACTAAGGGCGGTAAGGTTGCACTTCAAATTGTTGCTAATCCCATATTCCATGAGAGGACCAAACACATTGAGATAGATTGTTACTTTGTTAGGGAAAAATTCAAGTCGGGATGGTTATACCTTCTCTTAAATAATAAGTTCCTTAAAAATGACGAAAATAATTTCATTCATGGAAGTAGGTAAAACAAGTTGTATAAGTGATATTCAAAGTTAATTGTCTCTTCCCCACCAACCCAACACCTCAGACCCCCACTCAATGACCATCCCACCCCCAACCCCCACTGCCCACACCATCCCACCCTCATATTGCTTTGCTAGATTACATATTAATCCTCTTATGATAATATTTTTTTGCTTACTTACAGGTTTTATTTTTGCCGCTGGATGAACAACCTACTATGTAATTAGGTTCCCAACTAATAATTATACATATACCTAATGGATTCCTCAATACAAATACAAGGTCTGCACAAAAGTTACTTAAATCACCCCTGCCACCATATGGACTCTGTGGTATCAAAGAATGGTAAGACAGCTCTCAATGAATTTGCAACTTAATCTCTCATAAGAATGTAAGAGATCAAACTATCCTTTGAAAATGTGTCAAGACAATCATCGTAGGGCCAGTGTCATGCCAACATAAACGGTAACAATTAGTCCCTTCAGAGACATCGATAAATTTGGAATAATACTGAAAAGGTTAAATTGACATACACACAAGAATGACAAGCACAAATCGAGAAATGGTCCAAATAAACGGTAACAAATATTTACAAAGCAAGGAAGGTTTGGTGAAATCAGCAGGCCGTTTGCTGGTCAAAATTGCATTTACATCAACATCAGAGTGGAGAGAACTGTCAAGATGACCCAAAAAGATAACAACTCATGTCACCACAAATAGAAACAAACCGTGATGCATGCCATAATGCCTCCTAATATATAAAGTCTATCTAACCTGCTCTCATTTCTCATTTTTTCTTCCCGTAGCTCACTTTGCACCTTCGAGTACAGTTGACATGATTCAAGCGCCTCATCATAATTCTTGCTCCGTTTACAGCTCAATGCTTCCTTGAGGACAAGCAAACTGTTTCTACCATTTAGATGTGCACCTTCCATGTCGCCCACTTGCATGCTTAGTTCTGTCAGTTTGAGAGTTGTCGGCACGCCTCCCTCTTCTGTATAGATCACTCTGAACTTCATAAGGACGATACACTCCACAGCTTGACAAGGAAGAATGTCCTTGGCAGGGAGAACTGAACCGAAGCGAAGCAGGAAGTCCTTATCTGTTGGCCAGTGTCTTTGGCCTCCAAGGGGACTCCAGCTTGAGAGATTAGCAGCTTGTTTTATTTTGGTATTCACAACAATCCAACTGAGGCGTATTCCATCCCTGAGCTCTTGCCAGAGCTTACCATCTTTCCTCTCTTTCTCCATAGATGTAATTGGAGGCAATCCATCAGAAACTGACAGAGTAACTTCACCTGCATGTTCATCATCTCTAGTAGAGTACGTGAAAAGATCGATTCGAAATGGACAGCTGTAAAACCAATGTGGGAACCCATTTGCATTAGGAATCCCCCAAAGGACTTTCGAGCATATTGTTTTATCTTTGTATCTTACATCGACTATAGAAATAAAATCTGATGGAGCAACAATTTCAATTTCATCCATGTCACCATAATATTCAGCTTCAGTCAATTCTTCAGGATACTCGAGATATTCATTCCATCGACATTCAGGCACTTCCTTGTTCACGATAAGGGGGAAGCAATCAGCATAGAATTTTTTAAATCCACCAATAGAAGATATTAAACTTTTGACGTCATCCCTGTTGGTTGAAGGCCACATGGAAGAACATACATTTTCCCAAAGCTTCTCTTCTTTGGAAATCAAGCAGAATGCTTCACAGGCACAGGCGGCACTAGCCAAAGTTGCACCATCAAGACGCCTAAGTATGTCGTAGAACAGATCACTACTTAAGGATCCCTTG